TACAATGACATACCACAACCTAAATAATAGAATCTGCACTTATATGTTACATTAAGAAGAAAGCCAACTAAACCACCTAATCACATTAAATCCATGTCGTTCGGTTTTTATGAAAGATTGGTGGGTGGCTGAGTTTTTGGAATTTAAGGTCAACATCTAGAGAAGTTCTTAAGTGGCCTTATACTCATGAGTGGTGTTATGCATCTAGGATTAAATGCAACTAAATTTTATTTTTAGTTAGTTTCTAATGCAATGCATGCAAGTAAAAATATCCAAATCAAAAATGCATTAAATTTTAAAAAGACTTATAAAATAATTTTTTAGAAGACTAGGCTTCCCCAGATTAAACACCTCATCCTCATAGGTCAAATTATCTAAACTCTATACTCGGGCAAGAATGTGTTTAAATAAAGAAAGAGTAAAATGCATTAATATGTATGTGACCTAGACGACTTTCAACTTATTTCCCTAGGTCATTATCTCTCTATATTATTTAATTCCTAAAATTACAAGTAGAAAAATTTTATCTCTAGGAGCCTAACGAGATTCAGGCACATGCACATGCAAGAAAGAAATCTATAAAAAACATATCATTTCTATTATGCAAATAGGGTAAATAAATCTTCACATCAAATCAAAAGAGAATCAACTAGAGCAAATGTTCAATGTTCATGGAAAGTGTCATTTAACATATAACCTAGGATGCTGAAAAAGTGGTGGTGGCTAGGCTCCACTGACAAGAACCTTAATTATAATCCTATAGAATGACGCAAGTCTAAAAATGAGGAATTTTATTCTTAATATCTCCTTGATCCTTCTATTGGTCACCTTCCTTCAGTTTTCTTATGGTACATCATCAATAGGATATCCAAATGAAAAAAAAAATCCTTGTGAGAGAATTTCCTTTCTCTTTAGATCCCTAATATCTTGTTAAAATGCATCATTTTATAGACTTTCACAACTCTTAATCAAATTACATTTTAAAATGGAAAATACTTTATACTCCTACATGTTAGTAAGCAATTTATATATAAACATCACATTCATAAAAGTCTCAGAATAATAATATTCTCATTTTGAGCAACCTGTAAGCTTGGCCATGCTTTTTTTATTAAGGGATTGAGAATTCTAAAGCAGCTATAGCAATTATATTAATTTATCACGTTTAAATTTAGCCCTTTTTTATAGCCCTGTATAAGCTTGTCCACTTATAGAAAATATTATGAGCATCTAGATCACTCCTAGCCTATGGGTAATCTATCGTTCATCACTTCATAGAAAAAATAGTAATCATCATAATAATCATCTCAAAAAGCTAACACAATCAATAACAAATCAAATAGCACATGTTTCACATGTAAATCATAACATCATAATGATAGAAAGAAAAAAAATAACGACATAAACTAGAGCTAGAAGTCATGTCATAACAGACAAAATTAGGTGTGTATAATAGGCTATGTAGTTTTGGGTATATCTTATGTAGGATAATTTATTTAAGTTGTTTGTGATTTGATTTGCTAAAAGCAAAAGTGAAATTTTAATTTAAGTATTAATATCTCAAGTTGCTTTTAAGAGTTTATTCTTTATGTTTAATGATTATCACCTTTGTTGCTCGCTTGGACCATGAGGTTTATTTCACTCTCATTTGGGCTGACTTAATAGCCTGTAGGAGGTTAATTTAATTAAATTTGTCATCAACCAATTTGTGGCATTGTGCAATCAGGCCTAAGGACTATGCCTCTTTAGAACACTTAGCCCCGCAACCCGAAGTAGTACATCCTAAAAACCAAATTATTGTGATTAAATTAAGGATTTTTATTTAGTTAAATCATTAATAGTGAATTGATTTTAAAGTTTTGACAATCCATTAAATCTATTTGTGATGTTATGTCGTCAGGCTCGACGACTAGGCCTCCTTAGGACACTTAGCTCCATAACCTGAAGTAGTCCATCATAAAAACTTCATCTTTAGAGTGTTTGTTGTGTATTATGGTGTTAGTTAACTTATTTTAAAATATTAATTTACAATTTTATAAGATTTTAGATGAGCTATTGGATTTTAGACTAATTTATAAATACTTGTTTTGATAGCAATTATCTTGATTTATCTCACATCATTCAAGTTTGGTTTTGTTGAAGGGTGATTAACATGTTAATGAAATTTAGTTCAAGTGTATGTTCAAATTTTACCTTTTAATGATTATGTGTGTTGGTTGTGATTTGATTGATAAAAGTTAAAGATTTAAATGTATTTCATTTAGATTACTCATGGGTTTATTATGATCTTTTAATTATTAACTAGTTGTTACTCGTGATTAATTAAGTTTAAATAATAATACACTAATCCTATAGTGGAATGTCACTAAGTTTTCTATGTTTAGTATTTCTATCCTAAAATTTGCATACCTCCTAAGTCTAAGTTTTTTGAGACTCGTCATTGACCTTAAATATCACTAGTGTTGCATGGGACAAAAAATATATATATTTTTAACCCTTTGAACATATGCACAATTGTAAATTGGTTTAAGGATCTAAAATAAATAAAATCATCATAGTTAAAAATGAAGTTTCAACAAGGTCCTAGGGTTAGGGGCGCTCACACCAAGAGGCTCCCTAGGGGCCTATATGTTTTGGGAAAACTTACAACACCGGGGGCTATGATCTGGTGGTTCCGCCCGTAGCACCCCCACCAGAATAAATATGAGAGACTGATACTTGTATCCATTTATCCATGCTAAATTATCTAGATAGCACCAATTACTCATTGCTTCTCCAAAAATTCAATTAATATTTAATTAGAACAAGTTAATATTAGGGCTTGCACAGCGGCTTTGATTACTTGCCCCTTTTTTTGAACTTTTCATTTCACATACTTTCCCAAATTTTCACCCCAAGGCACAAGAAGTGTAGAAGTGGAAGGAGTAAAGGGTGGGGTAGTGATAAGGAGAAGAAAAAGAGAGAATGAGATAGAGAAAGAGAATCATTGTTTCCAACACTCACCACATCCCACTTTCCAACTTCCAAAACTCTTAAACATCCTCAAAACAACAACTTCTCTCACATAACGTATGCAAGAATAACACTCCAACATCTCTCATCAACCACCACATGAAACATGGCAAATCATCCCACAAAAACCTCCATCACAATAGATAACAAATGCATATAATAAATTTTGCAACCACTTCCAAATTCTCTTTTAAAACACTTGTGAAGCTTACATAAAAAAAAGTAAGCTCAAAGCATTATTGCATTAGATCCAAAAAAACTTTTATATGAACCAAATGAATGTTTTCCAACACATGAACCAAATGGATATTTGTTTCAACATAAAACACTCCATAAAGCCTTCCAACCTAGGACAACTTATGAGATTTTCCAACATAAAGCAAATCATAGAATTTTCCAACATAAGGTGAATCATAAAAGCTTTCAAACATAAAACAACTCATAAGTCTTTCCAACATAAAAAAACTTATAAAATTTTCCATCCCAAAGGTAACTCATGAAAATTTTCAATACAGTCATTCATGAAACTATACACATTTTGAGAATGAAAACAAAAATCATGCTTTTCTAACCCAAGTAACAAAAAAATAACTTATTTGAAAGTGAATCTAAATCAAATTGCGATCATAAGAAAGGAGATTTGACACAATCGGCCCCTTTCCACATCCTAAGAAGACACTTCAATTATTCAACACAATGTTAAATTGATTCCATGTCGAACTTATATTTGAAACATTAAATATGCGAACTCTCCAACACGTGCACTTCTTTTCTTCCACAACATGTACAAAGCACTTCGAGCAACAACTCATCCCTTCACATGAATGCAAAGGAACATTTCAATGCCTTACCTTTTTAAAAAACGTAACATAAAACACCTCCAATAACCTTACCTAAGCTTTCATTACAAGAGGCTATACATGTATATGACAATTTTGCAAAAGATTTCAAATCCACTCTCAAATATTTCAAAATATTTCCCAACATGTAAGAACCTTTGTATAAGATCTATGAATGTTCACAATTTAAATAAACTCACTCTATAGCCCAACATTGTCACAAAGTATTGATTGAGAGGAGAATAGAGACTTGATACAACCTTACTTCTTACAAAGTTTCAAGAAAATAATCCAACAACTTAACACAATATCTAATTGATCCTGCATCCAACAACTTAACATACAAAACAAGTATTTGAAATAAGAGATATATGAAAGCTTTCTAACATAATTTGCCAACATGACTTTCACATAAAACTCAAAAAAAGGTAAAGAAAAATCATGAAGACATAAGGGAACATAAAAGCATCTCATTGTCCACTATAACTCTATAAAGCTAAATTTGCTTCCAACTTATTCACTTGCTTTGATCCAACCGTTAAACCCAATGAAAATGAGAGAAAGAAGTTTTGATAGAAGCTCAATCCACCTCAAGAGATCTCAAAAGATTTTATAACACAAAGCTAAAGAAAAGTCTTCATAAAGATTAAAGAAAACCATATAACAAAAGGCATGCAACTTCTAATTACCATCAATTTGTCCACAAATATAAATGAAATCAAGCTTAGAAAACATGCTCTCTAACTTGTCTTAAGAAGATATAAACATTCCATCCAACATCGCAAAAAAAAAAAAAAAATCTTTTTAATATCTTTCAAAATGGCAAACACAAGACTTATTGGAGAATAAAGATTATGCAAACTTTCATGTATATTTCCAACAACTTGATACATTTGAAAAATAAACACTAAAATGAAAGACAATTTTCCAACATGCCTATTCATTTCCTGAAACGGGTTTTGCATGTCTTAGAAAACCTCTTATCTCAAAACAAGAAATCAACACGACCATAGGAAAACTTATTCTATCAAGACAACCATGTGTTATGATAGTTTAAACCTATCATCAACCCAAGTTTGAAAAAAGACGTCAACAAAACTTGTTACGAACATCAATAGCAAGAGAGCATTAAACACCTCATTAAAGAACTTTTTGGTGGAATCTTAGCAAATATAGTTATGTCTAACCTCACAATGATATAGAAAAGAGACAATGTGAAATTTTTACATCTAAATATGCTCACCAAACATTTGGTTAAAACATTTCATATACAAGCTTAAGTTTTATGAGTTGCCAACCAAGCACCACAACCTCTCATTAACCACATTTCACCAAACACTTGGTGTGCAAGATTTATAAGAATACATAACACAAACTAGCAAAAAGTTGTAATTTATACAAATGCTTGATTGAGATAATGATGAAACTATCAACTTGAAGTTCACCCAAAACCCCTGGAATGGAGGATATCAACTATAGTCATCAAAGATTTCACCATGACATCTTAAAAAAAAATTACTTAAACTTAAATACATGAGCTAAAAAAATGATAATTGCTATTAAAACAAGTATTTCAGAGATTCCAAATCTCTAATATGACCATCAAATTGTGTTAAGATGACAAACCAAACATAGAAGAATGAGAGGAGAAAGAAGCTAGAGAAATGGAAGAAGAAACTAGGGGGAGGAAAGGTAAGAAGAAATCATTAGAGAGAAAGAGTAGAAGAAGGAGAAAAAGGAAGTGGAGGTGAAGGGAAAGATGGAGAAGAAGAAGAGGAAAGGGAATACCTTGCAAACTAAGAGGGGCTAACGGCTAGGGAAGGTGTTCAGCAGGCTTTGGGTTTGGTCCTGGCGGCGGAGTCAGACGGGAAGGAGGTATCATCGGCTTGGCTGGGTTGAGAGAGGCAGAAATAAGATGGGAGAGGGAGAGGCTTCGGTCCTTGCCTGGGCTTGCGAATCCAAAGGAGGGAGGTGGGAGACTTGCGAATGCCCAAGGCGGAAGGAGAGAAGAGATCGCGAGAGTGAGCTGAGGGCAAATCGGAGAGAAAGGTGTTTTTATGTCGAAGGAATGCTAGACCTATGAGTCTTTCTCGCTGAGCCCACCTTCTTGGTCCCGCCCCCATACATAAAAAATGCCTCGGCCACACTCCTTGCTCAAGAAAAGCACAGAGATCTGCCTCAAAATAAAAGGATCATCTGAATCTAACTGTGACCATGGCATGCTTCATATTTGGCAAAATGATCAATTCCTAGATTTATGAAGTTAATTTGAAATCCTAATAAAGTCAAATAAGTTTAAATATAATTAAATTGAGCTAATCATGTAACACTCGAGTCCAAACTTGACCTAATTTGAGACAATTTGGGGTTCAGTCTAGTTTAAATAATGAAATAAACCCAAAATCAACATCAATTAAATTTAAATTAGGCCTGACATGGTTGATATGTGTTGATCGAGAATAGTCGAATGTAGTCGAGTCAAATTCAATTCGATTCGAGTCAATTTAAAATCAAGTTCTAATTGATACCAATTTAACTTGAACTTAGCTCGTCGTGGCTCGATTGAGTCGATCAAACACAGTCCAAACTAATTTGAATTAATTTCGAGTCTATTTGAGTCTGATCGTGCCCAACCAAGTCAAATTGATAAAATTAAGCTTGGGTCGACACAATTAAACTCAAATCAGCATTGATTTGGATTGAATTAGACTCGACGAGACTCAATTGAATCAATAACACATGATCTTAATTATTCGAGAAAAAATTGAGGTCAATAATGATAAAGCTAGGAAATTTTGTTATGTATAGGTATTTAACTCATGCTAGGTTGACTTGAACGTTTTTAGTAGAGTTGAACAAGTAAACCTTTTACTAGGGGACGGGGTATATGGGCTTGACCCATTAAAATCTTTAGTAAATGATAAATTTAATGTGTTAAAACTAGCTATTTATAAAAATTATAATGGTTTGGCCAACGTTGAGCTAGTTTAACGTAGCTCAAGTAAGTTGACATGGTTAACCTTTAACTTGTGAAGCTAAGGTTAATGTGTTTGATATATGAAGCTCCTAAGGTGAGGATTTAATAAGGGATTAAAATCAACTTATAAATGTTAAATAAAATGCATTCTAATAGGAATGCAGGGTGAGAGTCTCGGTTCAACTTTAGTTTTCGATTAATCGAGGAATATTTTAGGATTTCAATGGATCTTGGGGAGTTTAGGTAGACTTTAAGGAGCTTGGGGGTTCAATGACTTGGTCTAAGTAAATTAGACTAGTCACTAAACTCAAGGTTGTCTATCTCAAGCATTAAAGAATGTAGGGTATCATCCTACGGTCAAATAGGGTCTACTAGGATTGGTTCTAAGGCCTTGGGTTGCCTAGATTAGCTTAGGTAAGATCCTAGATTGATTTAGATTAATCAAAAACATTTGATTTGAAGATGAAGCAGGCAGGAGTGGAAAATAATAAGAAAAGGTATGAAACCTAAGTTTAGGTTCCTACTGCTTGATAGAAGGTAATATAACACTATATAAATGTAGTGTTAGCTTGAACTGAATTTCATGGATTTGCTTTCGAAGACCTTAGCTAAAGATGAGATCAACAACTTTATTTTCATATCAATTAAATAAAAAATAACATATGTTATAAACAGTTTTTGAAGTCCCATAACATTATTATCATGAACAACTTTTTACTTAATTTTAACCTAAATAATAGAAAGTCAACTTTCCTAATTTGGATTCTTTTTCAACCATACAATTAATCACAAATAAATAAAGTGTAAAAAATAATAAGAATAAACACACCATAATTTTTATTGGTTTGATCCACCCTAACCTACATCCACTCCCCGGAGTCCTCCTCTAAATATTGTACTAAAAATTTAGTAAGTCCCTTTAACCCCTAATTCTAGGTGGAGAAACCCTGGCAAAAACTCTTCCACCAACCTAGAGCGGCAGAGGACCTAACTCTTTTCAACCTCCGGGTTAGGTAGAGAACAAGGAATCCTTTTGCACTATACTGATGAAGGCAAAAAACCTAGAATCCATTTCTGCCCTCTTGGTGAAGGTAGAGAACTTGAAATCTTTTTTTTTTCCTCCTAGTGAAGATAGAGAACCACAAAGTCTCTCATTCCAAGAGAAGGTGGAGTACTTTGAATCTTTTTTCACGCTCTAGGTGATGGTATAGAGCCACTGCCTAATATTGTAGAATGTCTCCCAAGATTCACCAAAGAATCAAGGCAAAGACTTGAAAAAGACAGTCAAGAACATTGCTTCGAGTAACCATATGACTACCTCACAACTCTACCTCAAAAAAAGCTCTTCCTCCCTTCTCTCTCAAAGCTCTCGTAAACTCCTCTATTCACCCTCTCAAGACACTTGCAACAAAAGGCTTCTTTAAATAAGATGAAGTGAGAGTTTAATTAAAAAGCTTCTCAAGAAGCTAGAAATTTCAATCTATCATATAAGATCATTTAGTAAGATTATACAATCATCATGTATGATTAGTACAAAATAACCCTTTTAGACAGTACAAACTATATTATCTTATACAACTAGTTCAACAGTTAGTACTAATCATCCAGTACAATAGGTGACAATAAATTATTTGTTGCAAATCTGGACCCAAGCATATGATTTTGATGAAAACAAACATTATTGAACTTTTTACTATGATATTTCAATTTACTGCATATCTATCTTACCCTGCTCACTACCTTTTTAGGTCCACCGTTCACTTACAACTTCGAACAGCTCAAGATTTGGTAGACTAGTTCTATATTTTTGAACCAATTATACAGTATGATTTAGATGGTACTAGACGATCAATTAAAATAGAAAACTCTAATTAGGGCACCATAGTTAATAAGGATTAATTAAACTCATCATACTATACAATATATATGATACACGATGATTTATTATAATTAGTAAAATAGGCGCCAATCATAATTAAGGTAATATTTTAATATTCAAAATTTGAGTATAATCGTACCATATGATATTCATCATATTATATGATCAATAATAATCATACCTAAATTGATCCTTTGATTGTGTATTTAATTATGATTAAATTGTTCAATTAAATTGTACAGGATGCTTGAAGATGATAATAATTTATGACTCGATTCTTGCATGGGGTGATATTTAAATGCCATCCATCATCCAAGACAAAAAACCATAATTTTCACTAATTATATAGGACAATTCCTAATCTTAATACGGTATGAACCGATCATTGTATGGGACAATATTTAATTGCTAGCTATTGTATTGGATGGTTAGTTCAATCTTTTGAACTAATCATACAGGATGATCACAGAGATAGTACAAGATGATCAATATAATAAATTGAACTGATTGTCTAGACTAGTGTAGTTTGTAATATCTAAAAATATTATTTTGAATGAATTTTACAAGATGGTCTCATGATCATACTGGATGTTCAGAAATTCCATATTGAAATTTAGGGCTTATTTGGAGAATCTCTATTTAAGCTCTCTTATTTTCTTGTTAAGAATCTTTTGTTGTTGTCTTATTTTGACAGAGAGCTTAGAGGAAGGGAAGATGATATTTGGGAGAGAGGAAAGGGCGAGATTCTTTTGAAGGGGAGTTGCGACGGATTCAAAAAGGTTACTCCAAGTAAGGTTTCCATTATCTTCTTCAAGCTGCTTTCTTAATTCCTTGGTGGCTCTAGGGAAACATTCTTCAGCATCAGATTTAAGTTCTCCGCCTACTCTAAAAGGGAGTAGAAAGATTCAGGTTCTCTGCCTACTCTAAGAGGGAGTAAATGGATTCAGGTTCTCCGCCTTCACTAGGATGGTGAAAAAGATTCAAGATACTCTACCTCACTGAGTTGGTGGAAGAGATTTTTTATAAGGGCTTCTTCGCCTAATTGTGGGGGCTAAAAAAGATAAACTAAAAGTTTTAGTGCAATACTTGGAGGAGGCCTCCTGGGAGTGGACGTTGGTCAAATTTTAACTAACCACTATAAAATTTGATGTGTTTGTTCTTTTAGTTTTTCACATTTTAATTTTCACAGTCATTTGCGATTTTTGTGTGGTGAAATTTATGATTATTATGAACTTAATCTACTTTCACATTGTGGGATAAACTTGTTTCATTTTTAAATATTTAAAAAGACAAAAAGACTTTTCATTTTTTTTTAAGTAGTTTTTTAAATAACCAATTTACCACCCCCCCAAACCAAATTACCCCCCCCCCCCCCCCTTGCTTAACTTCGAGCTTGTTCTAAAAAGTTTAATAACCTTTATGATCTTTTAAGTGGCATTAGAGCGAGATTCAAAAACTAAGTTTTAAATAACTTGCAAAAAATAATAAATGACTAACTTTGGAAATTGTAATATGTCAAAAAGATATTCAATTACATGATCACCCTTATTTGATAATATTCCTTTTGACTTTTGAAAAATTTGCATATTAACTTTTTTTGTAATCTATAGATTATCAAATGTGGATGATAGTTTAGAAAGGATATTATGCACTTTCACCTTTAGTTAATGGCATGAAAACTGAACTCTCTTTTTCTGAATGGAGTATAAGAGATAGAGATTTAGCCCAAGTGAATGCTAAATATTTAAACTGATTTTTCTATGCATTAAAATTTGAAGATTACATGCATGTAACTACTTATAAAACTGGAAAACAAATTTGGGATAAATTATGTATAACATTTGAAGGAACAAATAAAGTGAAGAAATTTAGGTTATATATTTTGCTCCATAATTATTAACTCTTTCGCAGTTACTAGGTTCACTCAGAATTTTACTTCCCTATATGCCTTTGAAAGAGAACTTACTAACAATGAGAAAGTTAAAAAGATATTATGTTGACTACCTACTTCCTATGATGAAAAATTTATTTTTATCTATAATTGAATATAAGGATCTCAATGTTTACTCCTTTGATAACTTATTTGGATCACTCATTGCTTACGATCGCGGAGTGATTCAAAGACAGCTTCATGCAGGTGAAAAGAGAAAGAAGAAAACTGTAGCTTTAAAGGCTAACAATTTTGATAGTGATAATTCTACACTAGAAGATGAAGATGACATTATACTGATGACAAGGTAATTTAAAAGCTTTCTAAGAAAAAAGCATCATCAACAATAGAATAAAGGTAAAACTAATAAAAA